TTTCAGTCTGAAATTGATTTTTCCAATTCAATTGAAATCATTCACAAAAGGACTTTCTCAATGAATCCACTTTGACAGGAGAATCTCCATATGCTTGTCAGACATCAAAACTTTTCTAACAGAGGTTCAGTGTCCAGACTTAACAGAGAGTTTAAAATTGAAGTAAATTACCTTTTCATCCAGAGCTCTTGTGATTGTTGCTCCTAGTCATCTTAAGACAATGCATTTAAGTTACTGCCAGTGGACTGAACACGGACTTTTACCAGAGTTTGGGGGAAGTCCCTCTTGGTTCTTCCCCACTTTGCATGGCCAGAAGCTTGAGCAGTTGCCTATTGCTGCAGAGATTGTTATTTTTTAAAAAAAGTCTCTGAGAGAGGTCTTGCTGTAGTGTTTAACACCCTTTCAATGAGGCCCGGCCAGAGATTGTCCAAGAGCAGCTAATGCAGCTGTTCCTGCTCACATCTGCCTCGCTGGGCTCCTCTCAGGTGGCAGGGAGGGATTAGCAGTTCTCTGTGCTGCCACAGGGCTGGTGCAAAGAGCACGATGAGCTTCTGTGGAAGAGTGGTTAGCTTTCATCTTGCAACATTTTTGTTTGCTCAATTACTGCTTTTTCATTCCTTACTGACCTTTTCCCACGTCAAATGATTTTTTAATATTTTTTTTTTAATCAGAGATTTGAGAGCAAAACTTGTCATCCCCTGGATATAAATCTTGATATAGATATACATCATAGGTTCGTTTTGGTTTGGTTTGTTTTGGTTTTTTGGGTTTTTTTTTTTTTTTTGTTTTTTTTGTTTTTTTTTTTTTGGTTTTTTTTGTTTTTTTGGTTTTTTTTTTTTTTTCTGATTGCCTAATAGTTATTTAGGTAACACATGATCCTGTGTAGTTAATTCTGTCCGCTGATTTGGATCACTGTCATCTCTTGCTTTCTTTAACTCTCCTGCAAGCTCCTCAGTTTCAGTATTCCCTTTCAGTCAGAGAATGTCAGGCCACAAACACAGAAATTTTCTGTTGGATTTAGGTATTCTGGTATTATAAAGATCAGCCACTTTTTGGTAGAGGAATTTAGACAAATATATGTTAGTTAAAGAATTGGGAAAAAACACGTAATTATAGCTTTTTCTGGAGCTTAACAGGTGCTGTGTGAAAATCCTCCTAAAGTTATCACGGCAAGGTATGCATTACATAGTACTATAAAATATGCAAACAACTGAAATCTGTGGGAGGCTAATAAATCCAAACTGACCTACAAGAAAAAAATAAGTCAGTGGCAATTGGGATTATTGAAGATGATAAAACAATTCAGAGTTGCTCTACAGAATAACTTTTTCCTTTTTATTTTCTGGCATAAAATAAAAGGCAATTTTCTTGTGACCATCTTTAGAGCACTTTTTTTTTTGGTCTTCTGATTGAAATATCCCTGTGTTTTGGCATGGTCAGACAGCAAAGCTGAACAATGTCCTTCTCTGACACTTCTGTCAAAATTGTGTCCCCTCTGCAATGAGTTGCACAAGTACTTTATAAACATTCTCTGAGAGGACCTCTGCTGCATTAGCTGGAAGCTCACCTGAGGTGCATATTTGGGTTTTAACAGTAAATAAATGCTTCCTAGTTAGTTATGGCTAATATACAAGTGTCAACACTTGGTCAAAGGCAGTCCGTTTTTAAGGTTATGTGTGGTTCCCAAAGACAATGGTGTTTCCAAATCTCTGTGGACTCTGTCCTTACTGTTAGTTGTTTAGAGGATGATTTCTATTTCTTAGCAGCTCTTGCAGAAAGCCTGTAAAGCTTTACAAACAGGAAATGTTCCTCTTGTGCAGCCTACCCATCCCCAGTGGGATCAACAACACTGAAGAAATATCTGTTATGTCTGTGAGATTCCTGAGTGCTGTGGTTCCTTTAGAGATAAGCCATGCACCCAGACAGGAGCTGAAGTTGCACTGTTGGCCTTCACACAAGCCAGCAGCCCAGGTCTGGCTGGCTGGGATGGGGCTGAGGGTCCAGGTACAAAGGAAGGTAAGGACTGCCACCCACTGAGGCACAGTGGCACACCTAGCACAAGTGTGGGGAAAAAAATGTTGATGTATGCTTCCTCCCAGGTTATTAACCTTTGAGTTTTATTTTATGTTAGCCATGGATAATTGTGATTTGTTACTGTGTGTCACCAGGTACGTAATAAATTGCATATCAGAAACCTTGAATTTATTGTATTGATTTTCGGTATATATGGATTTTCTCTTTCCAATACAGATAAAATAAATGCAAAATTTGCAAGTTTTCTCAATTCACAACTCATTCTCAGAAGTATCAGATCAATCTACCTATTTTTTCCTTGATTAATGTTCTGTTGGTCCAGTAACAGTCCCCTCTATTGGCAAGTGCCAATTTGATATTACTCCCTGCCATGATGTGCTCATTATGTTCTTTACATGTCAGTTTTTCTCAGTTTGTAAAGGGAAGATTAAATCTTCCAGATGAATCAGTTACTGGTCTTAGAGTAATTTGAAATATTCACTATAAGGTGCTAGCACAGAAGTGTTGGGCATGGAGACGGTGAGAAGTGCTCAGAATGTTCTTATCAGCACTGATTAATCACCATGTAAATTTATAGTGCTGGGCAAACATTTCACAGTGATAAGATGTCTGTTTTAACATTAGACCTTTGCTTTAGCATTAGGCCTCAGCTTTAGTGCTCTCCAAGCTGTAGGATCTATGTGTCCCACTTCCTGACATGCCTTACTGCATCATTTGCTCTCTGCAGAATGTGCTTATGGAAAAGCAGAATGAAATTTAAACCTGCGAGATCTTCTCAAAATACATCTCAGGGCCATGTTACTGACAAGTCTGTGCTACTTACTGTGGATTGTCTTTTAATGATAAAGTTAATTTAATATACATCCTGATTGTCTGTGTCTGAAATGTGTTGATGTGCTTGCTCCCAGAAGAAAAATGTTATTTTTCTGTTAGTAGCAGGTGAGTGTAAGCAGAAGAGCAACAGTGTAGGATCCCTTCCAGTGGATGCTTTGTGTCACAGTGTGTAAATTCTCAGAGAGAGGTGGTCTGTGGGAGGAGGGTGTTAATGTGCATGACACCACATGCAGAGAAAATTTAGTAGGGGAGGAGGCACAGGCTACCCAGGAGCAATCTGGGAAGGCTGGAGACTGGTTGGATTCCAGAGCAGCAGTTTGCATTGCAGGTAGGCTTCATTTCATGGAATCTCACTATATTTCTCTTAGAACCTTATACATAATAGGTTCTAATATACCTATTAGGTTCTAATACCTATTAGAACCAGAGCATATCTAAGATAATTGTTTTTAAAGACAAATGCTCTAGGTTTTCCCTGAAACAACAAAGTTAAGAAACATATATTGGAAAGCAAGGCTGGTCTCTGCTTCTCAGTGCAACGCGGCTTCAGACAGAGTCAGGACACTTTCCCAGCCTTGTGTGCCTGACTGCCAGGCTGCAAGAATTACTATTTATTTCTCGGAAGCCACTGAACTTGACCTTTGTAGGGCTGCAGTGATATGCTATATGAAAGGACCATGGGGTCCAATCCATCAATAGCTATTTTTTTCCTCTGTGAACGGCCCTTTGGATGGGAATAACTTGAAAAGGCCTTGTCTTCATTACAGAGTGAGAGGTTCACTCCTAATACAGACCACATACATCTATGATTTGTATGTAGTGAGTCATGATACTGTTCTGAGGTAGGGTTTTTCCTTGTTCCTGACTTGGACATTTGAACAAAATGTCATGGATTTACAGAATAAAGAGATAAAGTTGGTGTTTAAATGAGGATTAAGACTGGGGAGTTTCTATACATGGCATCTGGATCTGGAACATTGCTGTGTTTATATTGTGTAATGTATTGCCAATTCTGGCAGCACATGCACTGTTTACCTCAGTGTGCTACAGAGCTGAGATCCCCTTCAGAAAGGCTTTCAGCCCTGATGTGCTTCACTCCTTGCAGGGCTGCCCTAGCAGGGGTTGCACAAGGTGGACGTGTCAGGTCAGACCCAGCCTGGCATCTCTGCAGCAGGATCATGTGCATGTCCCCCAGCAAACACCTACTGAGGCTTCATTCTTAAGTATGCATTTGAAATTGTGAGATCCCAGCACAGGATGTGAGGCATCAATGACTGACCATAATTAATTCTGACTTGACAGTCTTGGTACCTGCTCCTTCTTCTTCACTATAGGGCGGCAGGACAGGAATCACAGTGCCAACAGCACTGCTTGTTTAGGAATACTAAAGAGAGATTGTCCACAATGGAAGGTACCAGCTTGCATTGTGCCATACGTGCTCATTTTGTGTTAGATTTGACTCATTCTTTCATTGGCAGTTTTTGTTGGACCCCTTCTGGAATGTTATTTGCATCTGCAAATATATATATATATATATATATATATCTGTCAAATAAAGGCCACCCAGGTTAATGCTGTTTACCATTTGCAAGTGAGAAGTGAACCTCTATTTAACGAACAAAATATTGTGTAAATTGTGTCGCTGTACTGGCAACATTGTGCTGCAACCTGTGTTGTTATCATCTTGACGCCTGTGTGTGTTCATTTCTTGTCATGACCTCTGTGACCTTGTGTTTCAGCACTGCAGTGCCAAACTGTGGGAAGGAACGCATGCAAAAATTCACGTCTCATTAGAGTTCATCCAAATGGAAGGAAGAACTGGGACAGAGCCCAACTGGAATCTTTGTGGAGACAAACGTTGGGTTCTAAACAGATTATCTGCATCCTCCCTAAGTAATCTTCCTGCCCCTATGTTTCCATGGACAGACTTGTGTTTGTCTTTCAGATGCAGAGATCAAGACAAGCATCATCATGCCCTGACTGGAAAAGAGCCATCATTTTAGTCCATCTGAAATTATGAAGTCAATCAAACTTCATCTTGTGCTAAAATCTTTAGCAATCATTGCATTTTCTGATACAGGCAACATAAATAGTGTTCAGTAGAATAAGTAGTGATGAGCCATATGCTAGGTTAGGAAAAAAGAAGGTGGATATTTTTTCATGCAAAGTATTCAGGATGGACAACTTTTGCTTTCTTACGGAGCAGTACTTCTGGAGCTGAAACCTGTTCATGTGTTGCTGCCTTCTCCAGCACTTAGACCTTTCCACAGTCACCTCTGGCAGCTGTTTTTCAGTTGTGTTTTGATTGTTTTTGGCAATAAGCCATTTCTGGACTGTAGGGAGACAGTGATCCAGAGCGGAGCAGGCACACAGACGGGAGATCGTGTGCCACGGGACAGATGTGTGTGCCACAGGAGAGGAGATGTGTGTGTCACAGGACAGATGTGTGTGCCACAGGACAGGATATGTCTGTCACAGGACAGGAGATGTGTGTGCCACAGGCTCCATCCCACGGCCAGCGGGAGCGGCCTGGGAATTCACAGGCGCTTTCACAGCTGCTGAAATCCTGCACGGTTGGCTCCAAAGCCACACTTCTTGCATAACCAGAAAGGAATTAACCAACCTGCCAAGGAAACTGCATTCAAGGCTTTCTGCACAAAATAACCGCGATAGGAGAGCAGTGACTTGTAAAAGCAAGGCAAAACAAAGGCTTTGGAGAAGGACAAGAATCTGAAGAGGTAAAAGCGGTGCTGAAAGGCGGGCTGTCAGTGGGAGGAGAGCAGAGCAGAGGGAGCTGGAGCAGCACACGCAGGCAGCGGGCAGGTCGGAGCCCCGCGGGCAGCCCGGGCAGGGCGATGGGCCCGGCTCGGAGCCCCGCGGGCAGCCCGGGCAGGGCGATGCGCCCGGGTCGGAGCCCCGCGGGCGGCGGGCGCGGCGCGGCCCCGGAGCGCCCTCTGCTGTGCGCGGCGGGGAGCGGCAGCACCCGCGGGCCGAGATCGCGCCCGGAGCAGCGAGAGGAGCCCTGGAAATGCGCTGAAATGTGTTCATTTCACCGCTGGGGCGGAATGGATGCGTGTTCTAGCTCCGTGCTATCTTCATTACAATGAGCTTTTGCCGAAAATGAGCTTTGTCAGCTGAAAATCCTTCACAGAGTTATTCAGGAGGCTTCCTCTCTACAAACAATAGTAAAAAATCTGTTTTTTGCTTTTGCTTCAGTATGTGCAAACACAAGTACACCCACCGTGTTCATTAACTGTAGTAATTCTGCCCTCTTTCACATTTAGGATCCTGGAAGTTTCATGGAAAAGTTCTAAGGATGTTTCTGACAATTTCAAGGGGCTTTTTTCAATATTGTTCCAGTAACTAATGGAAGTAAGGAAACTACTGTTATGCTTGTTGGGGAATTGTTCTATGTCCTGATATTTCCTGCTTTTTATAAATCATGATTTTCCTTTCCAGTGCTTTTGTCTTGCTGTTGTTACTCAGGTACAGACCTAACACCTGGACCCTGCTGTGTCTGCCACTGCCTATGTCTTCAAGGAAATGCAAAGCTCATTAGTTTGTTTTCCAACCTCAGATGTGCTCAATATGCTCCCACACCATGTAACCATCCAGCACTGAGCCTGTCCAGTCAGCAAGACATCCTACTCCTACAGTGTGCTCTACTTAATCCAACCAATCAATACTGACAACACTGAGAATCAGGAAAGAAATGTCAGGTAATTAACTCTGAGCACCTTCTAATTACTATTACATGAAAAGCACCCTTTCCTCACATCCTTGACATGTTAGGTTGGTTTTTGTCTTGTTCCAAGACTTCACAGAACAAACTGGGACTTTGCAAGGCCAGGCCTGGAGGGGAGTTTGGTACCACACTGAGACTGGCAGGGACTGGGACCCTGAAGGTAAATTTGGCACTAAAAAATGCTGAGTTTGCACATCTTTATATTCTCTTTAGAAACAAGTCCTATCGCCATCACAGCTTTTTAAAAGGAGGTGTTGGCAGAATACATAACCCAAGGGTTTTCACCAGTTCAAAATTCCAGCAGAGACATGGGAGAAGCAAATCTGCTTTGGGATTTTCCAGAATTGGAGGCACAAAGCTCATGGAATGTTTTATTTATCTGGTAAAATGGTGCACAAGGATTTTTAGTGGCTTTCCTTTTTCCTGTGTAAAATAAACATCTTTAGTAAAGATGTCCAGGTCCAAACAGGATCAGGGAAAGTTCCAAAGTAGAGCTGGGTTGCATTTTATAATAAAACAGCAGAAAATCCAATCACGAAAAGTAGGTGGAAGATGACATCTGCAAGAGAAACACAGGCTGTATGTGAGTACTTCCCTGTCAGCTCCCTTTCACCTCCTCTTCCCACCCCATTCAATAAAACTGCATGGCCTAATGTGGCTCTGTCAACATATCAAATGTTAACAAATAGACTTTGAAAGGTGTGTTTCAAAGCCTTTCCAATCAGAAATGCTTTCAGACACCCCTGTTAACCCAGTAAAACATGATTGTTCCTTTTTGGGAAGAGGGTGTGACAATTAGAGAAAGAAGATTGTTCAGTATTGGAAGTAATTGCTATGATTTTATTGTCTGGTGTGAGGGATGTACCAAAAGAAGGAAAACAAAGTATATTACACTGGGAAATAAAATATGCTTTTGAAATGTTCACTCTTCTGTCAAATTTACTGATATTTCAGGTTTTTTATTTGAGCTATGGATTTTATGTTGACAAAGACACTCAAAATCCATATTTGGGGTTGATACTTTCATTGTCATACTTTGCTGTTTACCTGAGAGTGTGTAAAATCTGGATAAACCTTTGCCTGTAAAAAAGAGGAAGAAAAAGATTACATCAGAATGATGTTTAAAATAGGGCAAAGTGCACCAGTGTGCTTTGTAAAAGCAGAACAGGAAACATTTGTCACATTTTGAAAATCTGAATATTTCTTCCTCTTGGATTTGCTGTTTGAAGTCGTAACAGGATCCTCAGTTCTTTTACCTTCTAACATTGATGGGGGTTTACTGGTGAAACATAATGGATTGTAATAATTCTACTGTACCTGTATTTGTAATTTTAAATTGGCTTTCAGATTGGTGCCGATACAGTTGATAAACTAATGTAAAGGTCTCTAGTGAAAACAATGTTTGTTCCAAGAACTTGTTTCAAAAGATGAACCAGCTCAGAGAGAAATCCCCGGTGCCTGCAGGAGGCAGCAGTTGAGGAGACAGTTGTTCTAGAGTGGGGAAGGCCGATGGCAGTGGCATCAGTGTGTCAGGAGGGATAGGCACACATCCTTGTAACACATGAAGGTGTTGTGGATATGCTGAAGTACAGACCCACAGTGTAAAGAAAAACTTTCCTGCTGCTCCTGACCTCTCTCCCACTCCCGTGCAACCTGTCAGAGCGTGCCTGAGCTGCTGCTGAGGTCACAGGCAGGTGAGCAGAGCTTTCACTGCCAGCTTGGTGTGCCAGTGGTTTGGCCATTTATCATAAATGCCAAAGGGAGGCCTTGACTCACTTGGCAAGCGAAGAGAATTTCACTGAGCTCTTCTGCCAGAGTGGGACGGGACCAACTTCTGTTCGAGACTCCTGCTTTCCTGGGGGAAAGGGGTCTGGCAGAGGGCTTTGGCTCCCTCTGCTTCCTCCTATGCTGCCAGTTTCATTGCTTCCCAAAGGGAGAAGCACCCCAGGAGGCCAGGCACTTACTGCGCACGGTGATCTCCGCCACCAGAACGCCTCCGGTTTGTTCCGCACGCTGCTTGCGTTTGTCACAGATCTCAAGAGAGCAGAGAGAAAGCCATGTATACCAAAACAAATAAAAATTATACAAAAAAACCCCAGGCACAATTCTTATGTTTCCAACCAAGAAATTACTGCATATTTTCCAGGGCCTTTTTTTTTTTTCTGCCTGTAATTATTGGGGGTTTTAGTGCAGGAGAGGTTTGAAGAGAGTCTTTACAGTTCATTTTCTGAAGATTTTGGTGGGCTGTCTTTCCCACCCTGCCTTAAACAAAACTTCTGTCAAGAAGGGGGAAATTGAGCTCTGTCTGTTTAACCCCTGACCTCTGTGAAGGCTTCTGTGGTTGTTTATTGCTGATGATAATTGTTGCCCATTGGGTAGAAACAGGAAGAACCAAATCCTTCCCATACAGATCAGCTCATGTCCAGCACTAATGATGCCTGTCACAGCTGACAAGGTCTGTATTGGAGGCAGTGCTCTGCAGATTAAAGGTCCTTGTGCATCTCCTGACTTTTGCAGATCCCCAGCTGTGGGCATTTTAATTACAAACTCAGCATGTAGTAATTCTGATTATGAGTTTCTTGTAAGCACAGACCACCAGCTTGGTTCAACCTTAATTGCAGGAGGCCGCCAGCTGCATTTTTGAGTGGGAACTGGACTCAAGGGATGCTGCTGATTGAGCAATTATCCTGCAGTAGAGGGTGAGGTGGGAATTCCACACAGCCTGAAAGGATGATGTAGGTGTTTGACAGTACTGCCAGAGGGGCACATATGAAGTAATGGGTTCGTGTTTTCTTTTAACTCTGATCTGTTTCTGGATAAAAAGTTGAAGAAATCTTGAAAAACAAACAGCAAAATCTAAGAGTTTTTTCTGTTGCCTCTGAAACCTAGAATTTCTAACAATGTGTTTTTGTCAAACATGCAAATTTTGCACAAGTCAGTTCCTCCTGCTTAGCACTGAGACTGTATAATACAAAATGCTGCCTTAATTTTCTCCTGGTCTGAGAAAGGGGTTAGAAAGAAAAATTGGGCTCACCAGGATTGATGCTTTCCCTTCTCCAGCAAGAAACATTTGTTGTTGAAATGACAGCATGTTGGCTAAGGAGTATTTTGGGCTTCCATCTCAGGTTAAATAAAATTCTATTTCATTGCATGAGAGAAAGAATGGTAAAGCTCTGACTTGGCGAAGGGTGGAGAGAGAAGTCTTTAAAGAAAGACATTTTATGGGCACCTGCCCTTGTTAAATTATGTGCCTGTATAGCAACTTCACCATACTCCCATCTAAGGATACAGGAATCCACTTTTCTACCTCAGTTCTGCTCCAGAGACAATTTATGTATTTTATGCAGAGCAGGATGTCTGCAAGAGCAATAACTTACTGCAGCATGGCAGAGAGAACTTTCCTTGGGAAGGGGGACAGGGAGTTTGAGACAGGTTCTCCCATGGCCTCTAGGGTGCTCTTAGCACCGAGATACTTGGTAAAATGGAAAAAGCTCAACTTTCTCCTTTTTTCCAGGCTTGTCTTTAACTGTAGGTGTTTGTCAGACAGGACTGTAGTCTGGGAAATTGACAGGAGCTGTGTTTTTCAGTGGCTACCTTATTTCTCAATACATTTAAACGAGCTTCCCAGTGTTGCCTGTGGCAGGACAGGGGTCGGCTGCACAGCTGGGCTCACACAGTGCCGTGCCCCCAGCTGCTGAGAGCCCTGGCGCTGGCTCTGCACCTGCAAAGCCCCGGGGAGGGCCGGCCATCCTCTGGCTGAACGTGGCACCGTGTGTTTCTGCAGCGGGGAGGCCTTACCACGGGGCAGGAGAACTTCTCGCTGTCGCAGACGTGCGTCTCGCAGTGCAGCCAGACCTTGGACAGCTTGGGGATGTTGCGGAAGCGGAAGGCGTTGAACTGGAACGTGGCCCGGTTCGTCTTCCCGTTCTCGTGCACTAGGATGGAGTAGTCCGAGGCACACCTGTGTTGTGTGTGGAGAAGAAGTGTCAGAGCCCCCATGGCTGCAGTGGAACATCTCCTGAGGTGACAGTTTGATGAAAGCATTTGCCCTGCTCTCGGCCAGCTTTTGCTTTGCCCCCTTATGCCCCACAACCAGCTTTCCAGTCATCCTCAGGGCTGGGCTGGGCAGAGGTGCTCCCCTGGGTCCCACCAGCACCTACCCCTTGGTGATCAAAGGCCAGTGGATCTGGTAGAAATACTCTGAGGAGGGAGTTGCCCAGCAGTTGTTGAGAACAACTTTAAACCTGCGGAGATACAAACCCCAGATTAGCAAGGAATGTCCCAATTGCCAATTTATTCCTCATTCCTCCTTCCTTTGCCTACCTGTCACTTAAGCCCTTGGCTTCCACTCCAGCAAATATGTCAGAACCAATTTCTGATGTTTCAACCACAAAGGGGGCTTCCTTTATACTTGAGAACTTGGCATTCTTTGAAAGACAAAGACAAAGGCATCATACATTACTTGTATGCAAAGCAAGGCATGATTCAAATTCAGACACCCCTGGAGAGACTGACCACAGAAATCTGGGTTCTTATAACCTGCAATCGCCAAACTCTATACTGGTAGGATTATTGCAAACCCAAGATGGAGTTTAAAAATATTTTTATTAATATTTGGCATATAATGATGATCAGTGACAGAACTTGATGCTGTTTGGCTGTAGCATGTATTGCATGTATTCCCATGCAGCATGGGTGGGAAGCAAGCTTGCTGCTACTGCTTCTGGTGAGGAAAGCTGGTGGGAGTGAGAATAAAGGTGAGTGTATAGAATGGGAATGGAGTTGGGACACGGCCACGTATTGGAAAAAGGAAAGAAGACAAGCAGAAATCACAAGAAAAAAGCAGGCCTGCTGAACATGGAGCACTGTGGTGCTCAGGTGAAAAGTTTTGGTTACAAATATACTGAAATGTCTACCTTAAATCCCAGTGCTTCTTGTTGGGTGAGATGATAACAAAGCTAGCACCAGAATTGTACAAAGAATATCAGGTTTAGTCCTACCATTGGTTGACCTCGTGGTAAATACTCCTTTTACCTGGCCTGTAATTTTAACACAGTATGTTCCTAGTTGTGCTTTTTCTAGCTGTGCTAAAATAGAGAGGCTGTTTTGGAGCTTTTGTCTTTGCTTTTGTGGAGAAAAGATTCCAGGATTAGGAGCTGGCTGCTCCAGCAGTGCAGGAGAGCTACAGAGAAGAGAGGGATGCTTCAAAGGATTTGCCTGAGGGGCAATATTTTGTTGGCAACAAAATTCCAGCATGACCTAAAGATCTGTGGGGTACATGAAATATCTGTCAGGTGAGAGGACCAGGGAGAAAGCTGCAAGAGAAATGCAAGGAGCTTTGCTGTGTCTATAGAGGCCATGCAAGGCCAGGTCTATGTGCAGATTCATGCTGCTCTTGCAGTGGGACTACACACAAGTTTTGATTTTTCTTATAAAACCTGTCAGCAGGTTAGAAGTGTACCTCTCAGCAGAAACATCTGTCTGATTTTGAGGGATTAAAAGAACAGTTGGCATGTGTCTGCTCTGTTCACTTTAAGTATATCCCTGTTAATCAGCAGAAAGAACCCCTGCCAATCCCACTGCAATTATCCGTTCCAGGTTAGTAGTGTGCTCCATGACACATAAAAGTCAGGAGCAGCAGCCCTGTTTTTTCCAGCTCTTTGGCTGAAG